GGCTCCGCCGCCAAAACAATGCTGCACTTCCACGCTAATCCCGCCAGCTACGCATGCTATAGATTTAGCACAAGTAAGGGTATGTTGTAGACCCTAATCGTGACAATGATTGTTAAATCAGACGATAACCCACAATATGAAATGGGGCAATACAGATCATATGAAAACACGATTCTGTTGCCGCATATCTATATTTATATCATTTTATATGTAAATAAAGGAAAATGTTCTGGGGTGTGTGTATTAGCAATGTCACGAGTGTACGTGATGTATATATGTCTAGTTTTTAATTGTTTTGTATGTTTTAGTATTTACTGTGCAAAAAGTGGAATACATGAAATTATTTAAGAATCAAACTCAAGTTTATCAAAATACAATAATGAGACCGGTTTTGCTAATCTTAAGTGCATTACTTTCTCAGTTGAGTGATGGTGGGATTGGAAGCAGGTATAATAAATCGGAGGATACTTTAATACTTACAGTTCCCGCAAAGTACTCAGATTTTTGAAAATGTCTTTTGGTAAACGCTGTAGTCTATTAGAGCGTAAACTCCTTTTAAAAAACAACAAACCAAAATGAGCAATATAAAAATCACTAAAGGGCGATTAAAAACAATTGCCTAGTAAAAACATGAACCCCCTTCCTTACTGATAGGCGAATTAATGAAATTGGATTCACAGAATAACACGAAGTTCGCAAACCATGTAATTAAAAGAGCGCATGAAATAAACTCTGAAAAAAAGGCTTATTTAAGTGTGTATAAGATATTTCTCGATAACTGATAATCTACTTGTTTTCTTCTCCCACTAAATAAGTGAGGATAAAGTGCTTTAGACCTGAAACATGAATCTATCACTCGCTAGAGTACAGTATGGATCTACTTACAGGATTTGTAGCTTGGATAGTGCTCCAAACGTCCCTACAGGTAGGTCTTCAATTTCATTTCGTTCAAGATTTCTGTCAAATGAAAACAGTTTTAATGCACAGTTATGGGGATGAGAATGTACATGTAACTGGGAAACGTTTTTGGGAAAGATTAAAAACAAGATTTCAGAGTTGCATTTTACAAAGTTCCTTTTACGGTCAACTCTCCTCATCACAACTACCACCTTAATCGCCTATTAGCCATGTTCTGAACCGGGGGGGGACTTCCATTTGATAGGGACGAGGATGCTCGTCGTCTCGCTTAGGGGTGTAAATTTCAGATTTTGGTCTCGCTTAGGGTGTTCTGGGCAAAACACCTTTATATTTAGCCGTAAACGTCTCTTTTAGGGTTGCACTCGAAGAAGTATTAAAAAGTTATTTATGTTCAATTCGGTTTATTTACTCTATTCAAGTAATCAAAGTTTAAAATGATCGCTTTTGGGGGTCAAAAAAGGTTGGGCCACGCCCAGATCGATCTCCTTTAGGGGTTTAATTCAAAGTTTTCGACGAGCATGCCCACCCCATTCATATGGGAGTCCCCCCGGTTCTAAACGAGCCGGGGACTGGTACGACCTACGACTGCAGATGCTCTAGGGATCCTTAGAAGGAGGAGAAAAAAAACAAAAACCCTGTTCCTTACCGATAGGCAAATTAATGAAATTGGATTCACAGAATAACACGAAGTTCCCAAACCGTGTAATTAAAAGAGCGTATGAAATAAACTGGAATTCGGGAGTGGCCTATTGCTTTGTATTTTTTGGTGTTTACTGTACAAATAACCATTGGAATAGATAACAATTATTCACCGAAGTGGAGGTGGCTAGTAGTGAAATTTGCCGAGGCCGCGAAGCGGGGAGGTAAATACCACTACTAGCCACCGACACTGAGGTATACGAGATATCCGAAGAAATGTTTTACCCAAACTTATAGAGATTTGTATGGAGACGCCATGCTGGTGCTCACCTGGATGAGCTCCAACATGAAGGACGGAATCCAACAGAAACATCTTTTACCGAGTTTTGTTACGAAAGCGTGAATTTATTCTTCTATAAACTCATAAACATTAAAGTAATACTTTTTCTAATACATGAACTGTTTAGATAGCAAAAATTTCCTGAAATAAGTCATTTTTTTAACCTCCATGACAGCTCTCTTGGCCGTCATGTAAATGCCACGTCACGCAAAGGCTTACTAGAAATTCAAGCGTACTTTATCGTAAAACCAAGAACACTTTTTAAGCGAAAATTTGTATGAAAATTAGTTTTCAGCTGCTCTAATTCATCGTGAAAGTAAAATCTCGGTAGGATCGATAGTTTTTTAGTTTGAATTTTAGTGACGTCATGTGAAAACCATGGAGTGGAGTGGAGTGGAGTGGAGTGGAGCCGGTTTATAGCTTGCTCGATTTGATTCATTTCCACATGTACGCACTAACTTTCCCTTGGGAGATAGTAGGGATAGCAATTATCATTTGATTGGCGTTTTATCAGCTTCTCAGTCAATTAGAAACTCCCGTATTCCTGGCTGCGGACTATTCAAAATACCCAAGAATTGCGGCAGGTCGGACTTCCAATTGACTTGAATTCCCACTTTTCTGGCGGCTCCGCCGCCAAAACAATACAGCACTTCCACGCTAATCCCGCCAGCTACGCATGCTATAGATTTAACACAAGTAAGGGTATGTTGTATACCCTAATCGTGACAATGATAGTTAAATCAGACGATAACCCACAATATGAAATGGGGCAATACAGATCATATGAAAACACGATTCTGTTGCCGCATATCTATATTTATATCATTTTATATGTAAATACAGGAAAAATGTTCTGGGTTGTGTGTATTAGCAATGTCACGAGTGTACGTGATGTATATATGTCTAGTTTTTAATTGTTTTGTATGTTTTAGTATTTACTGTGCAAAAAGTGGAATACATGAAATTATTGAAGAATGAAAGTCAAGTTTATCAAAATACAATAATGAGACCGGTTTTGCTAATCTTAAGTGCATTACTTTCTCAGTTGGGTGCTGGTGGGATTGGAAGCAGGTATAATAAATCGGAGGATATTTTAATACTTACAGTTCCTGCAAAGTACTCAGATTTTTGAAAATGTCTTTTGGTAAACGCTGTAGTCTATTAAAGCGTAAACTCCTTTTAAAAAACAACAAACCAAAATGAGCAATATAAAAATCACTAAAGGGCGATTAAAAACAATTGCCTAGTAAAAACATGAACCCCCTTCCTTACTGATAGGCGAATTAATGAAATTGGATTCACAGAATAACCTGAAGTTCCCAAACATGTAGTTAAAAGAGCGCATGAAATTAACTATGAGAAAAAAAAGCTTTATTAATAAGTGTGTATAAGATATTTCTCGATAACTGATAATCTATATGTTCCTTCTCCCTTTAAATAAGTGAGGATGAAGTGCTCTAGCCGTGAAACATGAATCTATCACTCGCCGGAGTAAGAAAAATCTCTGAAGAGTGTAAAAATGTTCATTATTAAGGGACCTCAACAAAATAGCAGAAAATGGTCTATAAGTAAGACTTCGAAAAACATGCTTACGGCCACTTCAGGTACTAGATTTAGCACACGTAAGGGTATATTCTAGACCCTAATCGAGACAATGATTGCTAAATCAGACGATAATTTTGTGACCCACAATATGAAATGGGGCAATACAGATCTGACTAGTACACGATTCTGTCGCCGCATATCTGCATCATATTATTTTATATGTAAATAAAGGAAAAATGTTCTGGGGTGTGTATATAAGTATGTCACGAATGTGTGTGATGTATATATGTCTAGTTTTTAGTTATTTTGTATGTTTTGGTATTTACTGTGCAAAAAGTGGAATACATGAAATTATTTAAGAATCAAAGTCAAGTTTATCAAAATACAATAATGAGACCGGTTTTGCTAATCTTAAGTGCATTACTTTCTCAGTTGGGTGCTGGTGGGATTGGAAGCAGGTATAATAAATCGGAGGATATTTTAATACTTACAGTTTCTGCAAAGTACTCAGATTTTTGAAAATGTCTTTTGGTAAACGCTGTAGTCTATTAGAGCGTAAACTCCTTTTAAAAAACAACAAACCAAAATGAGCAATATAAAAATCACTAAAGGGCGATTAAAAACAATTGCCTAGTAAAACATGAACCCCATCCTTACTGATAGGCGAATTAATGAAATTGGATTCACAGAATAACACGAAGTTCGCAAACCATGTAATTAAAAGAGCGCATGAAATAAACTCTGAAAAAAAGGCTTATTTAAGTGTGTATAAGATATTTCTCGATAACTGATAATCTACTTGTTTTCTTCTCCCACTAAATAAGTGAGGATAAAGTGCTTTAGACCTGAAACATGAATCTATCACTCGCTAGAGTACAGTATGGATCTACTTACAGGATTTGTAGCTTGGATAGTGCTCCAAACGTCCCTACAGGTAGGTCTTCAATTTCATTTCGTTCAAGATTTCTGTCAAATGAAAACAGTTTTAATGCACAGTTATGGGGATGAGAATGTACATGTAACTGGGAAACGTTTTTGGGAAAGATTAAAAACAAGATTTCAGAGTTGCATTTTACAAAGTTCCTTTTACGGTCGACTCTCTTCATCACAACTACCTCCTTAATTGCCTATTAGCCATGTTCTGAACCGGGGGGGGGAGGGACTTCCATTTGATAGGGGCGGGAATGCTCGTCGTCTCGCTTAGGGGTGAAAATTTCAGATTTTGGTCTCGCTTAGGGTGTTCTGGGCAAAACATCATTATATTTAGCCGTAAACGTCTCTTTTAGGGTTGCACTCGAAGAAGTATTAAAAAGTTATTTATGTTCAATTCGTTTTATTTACTCTATTCAAGTAATCAAAGTTTAAAATGATCGGTTTTGGGGGTTAAAAAAGGTTGGGCCACGCCCAGATTGATCTCCTTTAGGGGTTTAATTCAAAATTTTCGACGAGCATCCCGACCCCTTTCATATGGGAGTCCCCCCGGTTCTAAACGAGCCGGGGACTAGTACGACCTAGGACTGTATATGCTCTAGGGATCTTTAGAAGGAGGAGAAAAAAAAACAAAAACCCTGTTCCTTACTGATAGGCAAATTAATGACATTGGTTTCACAGAATAACACGAAGTTCCCAAACCGTGTAATTAAAAGAGCGTATGAAATAAACTGGAATTCGGGAGTGGCCTATTGCGTTGTATTTTTTGGTGTTTACTGTACGAATAACCATTGGAATAGATAACAATTATTCACCGAAGTGGAGGTGGCTAGTAGTGAAATTTGCCGAGGCCGCGAAGCGGGGAGGTAAATACCACTACTAGCCACCGACACTGAGGTATACGAGATATCCGAAGAAATGTTTTACCCAAACTTATAGAGATTTGTATAGAGACGCCATGCTGGTGCTCACCTGGATGAGCTTCAACATGAAGGACGGAATCCAAGAGAAACATCTTTTACCGAGTTTTGCTACAAAAGCGTGAATTTATTCCTCTGTAAACTCATAAACATTAAAGTAATACTTTTTCTAATACATGAACTGTTTAGATAGCAAAAATTTCCTGAAATAAGTCATTTTTCTAACCTCCATGACAGCTCTCTTGGCCGTCATCTAAATGCCACGTCACGCAAAGGCTTACTAGAAATTCAAGCGTACTTTATCACAAAACCAAGAATACTTTTTAAGCGAAAATTTGTATGAAAATTAGTTTTCAGCTGCTCTAATTCATCGTGAAAGTAAAATCTCGGTAGGATCGATAGTTTTTTAGTTTGAATTTTAGTGACGTCATGTGAAAACCATGGAGTGGAGTGGAGTGGAGTGGAGTGGAGCCGGTTTATAGCTTGCTCGATTTGATTCATTTCCACATGTACGCACTAACTTTCCCTTGGGAGATAGTAGGGATAGCAATTATCATTTGATTGGCGTTTTATCAGCTTCTCAGTCAATTAGAAACTCCCGTATTCCTGGCTGCGGACTATTCAAAATACCCAAGAATTGCGGCAGGCGGGACTTCCAATTGACTTGAATACCCACTTTTTCTTGGCTCCGCCGCCAAAACAATACTGCACTTCCACGCTAATCCCGCCAGCTACGCATGCTATAGATTTAGCACAAGTAAGGGTATGTTGTAGACCCTAATCGTGACAATGATTGTTAAATCAGACGATAACCCACAATATGAAATGGGGCAACACAGATCATATGAAAACACGATTCTGTCGCCGCATATCTATATTTATATCATTTTATATGTAAATACAGGAAAAATGTTCTGGGGTGTGTGTATTAGCAATGTCACGAGTGTACGTGATGTATATATGTCTAGTTTTTATTTGTTTTGTATGTTTTAGTATTTACTGTGCAAAAAGTGGAATACATGAAATTATTTAAGAATCAAATTCAAGTTTATCAAAATACAAAAAAGAGACCTGTTTTGGAATTAAGTGGATTGCTTTCTGAGTTGAGTGCAGGTGGGATTACGAGCAGGTATAATAAATCGGAGGATGCTTTAATACTTACAGTTCCCGCAAAGTACTCAGATTTTTGAAAATGTCTTTTGGTAAACGCTTCAGTCTATTAGAGCCTAAATTCCTTTAAAAAAAAACAACAAACCAAAATAAGGAATATAAAAATCACTAAAGGGCGATTGAAAACAACTGGCTAGTAAAAACATAAACCCCGTTACTCGCTGATGGGCAAATTAATGAAATTGGGTTCAAAGAATAACAGGAAGTTTCTAAGCCATGTAATTAAAAATCAGAGCGCATGAAACAAACTCTGAAAAAAGAAATGTTCAGATTAAAATGAGAGATTATATTGACAGGCGGGTTACCTTACCTACCTTTTCTTTTTTGTATTTTATTGAATGGGGATGTTTAGAACAAAAATTGTGTTACCAGGAATTTAAACACATCAACTCTACTACAATGACTATACACCTCAACTATACTTAAGAAAGAAAGACGCAGAAAAAATAATAATGATAAATAAATACCCTTCCTAGCTAGCCTTACAGAGGTAAATACTGTGAGGAAATTCCAAATCATTGGAAGCTAAGGAAGCCAATATAATACTTACAGTCCTAAGAGGGACCTTAAATTCATGAACGTCTCAGTGTGAAGCTCTAGCACGTTGCCAGAAAAATCTCTGAAGAATTTGAAAATGTACATTATTAAGGGACCTCAGGAAAGTAGCAAAAAATGGTATATAAGTAAGAGTTCGAAAAAGATGCTTACGCCCACAGCAAGCAACAGAATTAGTACAAGTAAGGGTATGTTGTAGACCCTAATCGTTTCATTGATTGCTAAATCAGAAGATAAGTTTATGACCCACTATATGAAATGGGGCAATACAGATCTGATTAGTACACGATTCAAGTTTATAAAACACAAAAAAGAGACCTGTTTTGCTAATCTTAAGTGGATTACTTTCTCAGTTGAGTGCAGGTGGGATTACGAGCAGGTATAATAAATCGGAGGATGCTTTAATACTTACAGTTTCTGCAAAGTACTCAGATTTTTGAAAATGTCTTTTGGTAAACGCTGTAGTCTATTAAAGCGTAAACTCCTTTTAAAAAACAACAAACCAAAATGAGCAATATAAAAATCACTAAAGGGCGATTAAAAACAATTGCCTAGTAAAAACATGAACCCCCTTCCTTACTGATAGGCGAATTAATGAAATTGGATTCACAGAATAACCTGAAGTTCCCAAACATGTAGTTAAAAGAGCGCATGAAATTAACTATGAGAAAAAAAAGCTTTATTAATAAGTGTGTATAAGATATTTCTTGATAACTGATAATCTATATGTTCCTTCTCCCTTTAAATAAGTGAGGATGAAGTGCTCTAGCCGTGAAACATGAATCTATCACTCGCCGGAGTAAGAAAAATCTCTGAAGAGTGTAAAAATGTTCATTATTAAGGGACCTCAACAAAATAGCAGAAAATGGTCTATAAGTAAGACTTCGAAAAACATGCTTACGGCCACTGCAGGTACTAGATTTAGCACACGTAAGGGTATATTCTAGACCCTAATCGAGACAATGATTGCTAAATCAGACGATAATTTTGTGACCCACAATATGAAATGGGGCAATACAGATCTGACTAGTACACGATTCTGTCGCCGCATATCTGCATCATATTATTTTATATGTAAATAAAGGAAAAATGTTCTGGGGTGTGTATATCAGTATGTCACGAATGTGTGTGATGTATATATGTCTAGTTTTTAGTTATTTTGTATGTTTTGGTATTTACTGTGCAAAAAGTGGAATACATGAAATTATTTAAGAATCAAAGTCAAGTTTATCAAAATACAATAATGAGACCGGTTTTGCTAATCTTAAGTGCATTACTTTCTCAGTTGGGTGCTGGTGGGATTGGAAGCAGGTATAATAAATCGGAGGATATTTTAATACTTACAGTTCCTGCAAAGTACTCAGATTTTTGAAAATGTCTTTTGGTAAACGCTGTAGTCTATTAGAGCGTAAACTCCTTTTAAAAACAACAAACCAAAATGAGCAATATAAAAATCACTAAAGGGCGATTAAAAACAATTGCCTAGTAAAAACATGAACCCCCATCCTTACTGATAGGCGAATTAATGAAATTGGATTCACAGAATAACACGAAGTTCGCAAACCATGTAATTAAAAGAGCGCATGAAATAAACTCTGAAAAAAAGGCTTATTTAAGTGTGTATAAGATATTTCTCGATAACTGATAATCTACTTGTTTTCTTCTCCCACTAAATAAGTGAGGATAAAGTGCTTTAGACCTGAAACATGAATCTATCACTCGCTAGAGTACATGATGGATCTACTTACAGGATTTGTAGCTTGGATAGTGCTCCAAACGTCCCTACAGGTAGGTCTTCAATTTCATTTCGTTCAAGATTTCTGTCAAATGAAAACAGTTTTAATGCACAGTTATGGGGATGAGAATGTACATGTAACTGGGAAACGTTTTTGGGAAAGATTAAAAACAAGATTTCAGAGTTGCATTTTACAAAGTTCCTTTTACGGTCGACTCTCTTCATCACAACTACCTCCTTAATTGCCTATTAGCCATGTTCTGAACCGGGGGGGGACTACCATTTGATAGGGGCGGGAATGCTCGTCGTCTCGCTTAGGGGTGAAAATTTCAGAGTTTGGTCTCGCTTAGGGTGTTCTGGGCAAAACATCATTATATTTAGCCGTAAACGTCTCTTTTAGGGTTGCACTCGAAGAAGTATTAAAAAGTTATTTATGTTCAATTCGTTTTATTTACTCTATTCAAGTAATCAAAGTTTAAAATGATCGCTTTTGGGGGTCAAAAAAGGTTGGGCCACGCCCAGATTGATCTCCTTTAGGGGTTTAATTCAAAATTTTCGACGAGCATCCCCACCCCTTTCATATGGGAGTCCCCCCGGTTCTAAACGAGCCGGGGACTGGTACGACCTACGACTGCATATGCTCTAGGGGTCTTTAGAAGGAGGAGAAAAAAAAACAAAAACCCTGTTCCTTACCGATAGGCAAATTAATGACATTGGTTTTACAGAATAACACGAAGTTCCCAAACCGTGTAATTAAAAGAGCGTATGAAATAAACTGGAATTCGGGAGTGGCCTATTGCTTTGTATTTTTTGGTGTTTACTGTACGAATAACCATTGGAATAGATAACAATTATTCACCGAAGTGGAGGTGGCTAGTAGTGAAATTTGCCGAGGCCGCGAAGCGGGGAGGTAAATACCACTACTAGCCACCGACACTGAGGTATACGAGATATCCGAAGAAATGTTTTACCCAAACTTATAGAGATTTGTATGGAGACGCCATGCTGGTGCTCACCTGGATGAGCTTCAACATGAAGGACGGAATCCAACAGAAACATCTTTTACCGAGTTTTGCTACAAAAGCGTGAATTTATTCCTCTATAAACTCATAAACATTAAAGTAATACTTTTTCTAATACATGAACTGTTTAGATAGCAAAAATTTCCTGAAATAAGTCATTTTTTTAACCTACATGACAGCTCTCTTGGCCGTCATGTAAATGCCACGTCACGCAAAGGCTTACTAGAAATTCAAGCGTACTTTATCACAAAACCAAGAATACTTTTTAAGCGAAAATTTGTATGAAAATTAGTTTTCAGCTGCTCTAATTCATCGTGAAAGTAAAATCTCGGTAGGATCGATAGTTTTTTAGTTTGAATTTTAGTGACCTCATGTGAAAACCATGGAGTGGAGTGGAGTGGAGTGGAGTGGAGCCGGTTTATAGCTTGCTCGATTTGATTCATTTCCACATGTACGCACTAACTTTCCCTTGGGAGATAGTAGGGATAGCAATTATCATTTGATTGGCGTTTTATCAGCTTCTCAGTCAATTAGAAACTCCCGTATTCCTGGCTGCGGACTATTCAAAATACCCAAGAATTGCGGCAGGCGGGACTTCCAATTGACTTGAATACCCACTTTTCTTGCGGCTCCGCCGCCAAAACAATACTGCACTTCCACGCTAATCCCGCCAGCTACGCATGCTATAGATTTAGCACAAGTAAGGGTATGTTGTAGACCCTAATCGTGACAATGATTGTTAAATCAGACGATAACCCACAATATGAAATGGGGCAACACAGATCATATGAAAACACGATTCTGTCGCCGCATATCTATATTTATATCATTTTATATGTAAATACAGGAAAAATGTTCTCGGTGTGTGTATTAGCAATGTCACGAGTGTACGTGATGTATATATGTCTAGTTTTTATTTGTTTTGTATGTTTTAGTATTTACTGTGCAAAAAGTGGAATACATGAAATTATTTAAGAATCAAATTCAAGTTTATCAAAATACAAAAAAGAGACCTGTTTTGGAATTAAGTGGATTGCTTTCTAAGTTGAGTGCAGGTGGGATTACGAGCAGGTATAATAAATCGGAGGATGCTTTAATACTTACAGTTCCCGCAAAGTACTCAGATTTTTGAAAATGTCTTTTGGTAAACGCTTCAGTCTATTAGAGCCTAAATTCCTTTAAAAAAAAACAACAAACCAAAATAAGGAACATAAAAATCACTAAAGGGCGATTGAAAACAACTGGCTAGTAAAAACATAAACCCCGTTACTCGCTGATGGGCAAATTAATGAAATTGGGTTCAAAGAATAACAGGAAGTTTCTAAGCCATGTAATTAAAAATCAGAGCGCATGAAACAAACTCTGAAAAAAGAAATGTTCAGATTAAAATGAGAGATTATATTGACAGGCGGGTTACCTTACCTACCTTTTCTTTTTTGTATTTTATTGAATGGGGATGTTTAGAACAAAAATTGTGTTACCAGGAATTTAAACACATCAACTCTACTACAATGACTATACACCTCAACTATACTTAAGAAAGAAAGACGCAGAAAAAATAATAATGATAAATAAATACCCTTCCTAGCTAGCCTTACAGAGGTAAATACTGTGAGGAAATTCCAAATCATTGGAAGCTAAGGAAGCCAATATAATACTTACAGTCGTAAGAGGGACCTTAAATTCATGAACGTCTCATTGTGAAGCTCTAGCACGTTGCCAGAAAAATCTCTGAAGAATTTGAAAATGTACATTATTAAGGGACCTCAGGAAAGTAGCAAAAAATGGTATATAAGTAAGAGTTCGAAAAAGATGCTTACGCCCACAGCAAGCAACAGAATTAGTACAAGTAAGGGTATGTTGTAAATCGGAGGATGCTTTAATACTTACAGTTTCTGCAAAGTACTCAGATTTTTGAAAATGTCTTTTGGTAAACGCTGTAGTCTATTAAAGCGTAAATTCCTTTTAAGAAACAACAAACCAAAATGAGCAATATAAAAATCACTAAAGGGCGATTAAAAACAATTGCCTAGTAAAAACAAGAACCCCCTTCCTTACTGATAGGCGAATTAATGAAATTGGATTCACAGAATAACCTGAAGTTCCCAAACATGTAGTTAAAAGAGCGCATGAAATTAACTATGAGAAAAAAAAGCTTTATTAATAAGTGTGTATAAGATATTTCTTGATAACTGATAATCTATATGTTCCTTCTCCCTTTAAATAAGTGAGGATGAAGTGCTCTAGCCGTGAAACATGAATCTATCACTCGCCGGAGTAAGAAAAATCTCTGAAGAGTTTAAAAATGTTCATTATTAAGGGACCTCAACAAAATAGCAGAAAATGGTCTATAAGTAAGACTTCGAAAAACATGCTTACGGCCACTTCAGGTACTAGATTTAGCACACGTAAGGGTATATTCTAGACCCTAATCGAGACAATGATTGCTAAATCAGACGATAATTTTGTGACCCACAATATGAAATGGGGCAATACAGATCTGACTAGTACACGATTCTGTCGCCGCATATCTGCATCATATTATTTTATATGTAAATAAAGGAAAAATGTTCTGGGGTGTGTATATCAGTATGTCACGAATGTGTGTGATGTATATATGTCTAGTTTTTAATTATTTTGTATGTTTTGGTATTTACTGTGCAAAAAGTGGAATACATGAAATTATTTAAGAATCAAACTCAAGTTTATCAAAATACAATAATGAG